GCGCAAAACAAGTGAATTTATAACAAGTAAGTTTAGGTACACATTTACCTGTGCGTCCTCCAGCATGTCCAACACATGACAAGGGGGTGATTATGATGAGCATCAATGGCTCGGTAATTTCCACGCAGGAGAACTCACCTCGTAGCTAGAGGGAGAAACGGAGGTTCTACATCCGGAGGTAATGGTGGTAGAGGTGGCTGCAACGGCAGGAACCGCTCCCGGGACCAAACCTAACATACAAGGTTGACGTAAAGTTTAAGAAATTTTTTGACTAGATAGAACTGGAAGTAATGAACAAAGTATTCGAATATGTTGTCACCTATAGAAGCGGCAGAAAACCACATACGTCGCTCTGGGTGCCCATGCTTGCCCGGCACATATACCTGTACAGGTAAGCGAGAACAGTAGCACCCTAGCTGTACTGGGGTAAATCATCTAGCTGCTGAATATAATGTAGAAATCGCAAACTCACTAGATTTCCTGAAGTGTTCGGGAACAAGACACCCCCAAAAAGAAGGAACAGCACCAACCTCGTGTATCGGTGAATATGTAGATCATCTGTCTCGCCGGTAATGTCGGGGTGCAATATCTTCGAATGCTGTCTAATAGCTGTCAAAGTCATGCGACTGGCCCCTGAAGATGCAGTCTCAACCTGTGGCCTGAAACCAGTGAACTGCTATAGTAAGTCCAAATACTGGGCACGCGACATAGATCTCATATACTGAGGCAGTGCAACGGCTAGTCCATTAGTAGGCAGCCCATATAAAACCTCAACATCCTACAGCGTGATGGTGGCCTCGCCAATGGGCAGGTGGAAAGTGTGCGTCTCCAGTCGCCACCCTCTATCAAGGCCGTGATCAGAGACCAGTGAGCTGCAGCCGCCCAATCTGAAAAATCCTATAGAAGCCCGTATCCCGCAGGCGCTGGACTACACGGGGATGAAAATCTCTGCCCCTCATAAAGTCCCACAAGTCGTCCACTCTCCTGGCGGAGAGTCTGGTCCAGTAGCTCTCCCTCCCATACGTAGGCGAACCTATGGTCTCCTTGTAACACTAATAGCTCATCGGAGAAAGGTCCAGGATGCATAGGCGACACATCCATGTCGTCTACTGTAAATTAAACAATATTAATTGTTTGTTTGTTTTGAAAATTAAATAACTAATTCTTAATTGGACAAGGTATATATATATATATCTATATGGGTTCTAGGCTGATATTTGAGGCCGAGTAGCACCAAGGTTTCCTGAATTCTTATGTGTGTCAATTTCAATATTTTTATAATTTTGTGTGTTTGTTTTGTAAATAATTAATATTCTATTATTTAATTGGACAGAGTATATCTATGTGTCTCAGGCACGATATTTGAGTCCCAGTAGCACCAAGCTATCCTGAATTCTTATGTGTGTCAATTTCAATTTTTTTCATAATTTTGTTTGTTTGTTTTATAAATTAAATAATTAATTTTTAATTTTACAACGTATATATCTATGGATTCCAGGCTCGATATTTGAGGCCTAGTAGCACCAAGCTATCCTGAATTCTTATGTATGTCAATTTCAATACTTTTCATAATTTTGTTTGTTTTATAAATTAAATAATTAGTTTTTAATTGGACAGCATTTATATCTATGGGTTTCAGGCTCAATATTCGAGGCCGAGTAGCACCAAGCTTTCCTGAATTCTTATGTGTGTCAAATTCAATATTTTAGAATTTTATGTGTTTTATAAATTAAATAATTAATTTTTAATTGGACAGCGTATATATCTATGGGTTCCAGGCTCGGTATTTGAGGCCGAGTAGCACCAAGCTTTTCTTAATTCTTATGTGTGTCAATTTCAATATTTTTATAATTTTGTGTGTTTGTTTTGAAAATTAAATAATTAATTTTTAATTGGACAGAGTATATACCTATGGGTTCCAGGCTCGATTTTTGAGGCCAGTAGCACCAAGCTATCCTGAATTCTTATGTGTGTCAATTTCAATATTTTTCATAATTATGTGTGTTTGTTCTATAAATTAAGTAATTAATTTTTGTAAATTGTAATTGGATAGAGTTTGTGTTTGATCTATCAATACAGTAGATACTTAAGCTACAGAGATTCTACGCTAAAAGGCTCTACATTTTACTACGCTAAAAGGCTCTATATTTTACTACACTAAAAGGCTCTATATTTTACTACGCTATAAGGGCACTAGTCTTTAAGCAAATAAATAATCTAAACTAAATAAAAACAACAAACATATTTTAATATCATAACATCCATGAAATTACATATAAAACAGTAAAAGAAATTTATGAACATGTTTATTAACAAGAAAAATTATTTTTCAACTTTTAACTATTTTTTTAAAACACTAATATCTTAATCCGGATAAAATGACATACTAATTTAATCGCAAACAAAACACAAAATAACATGGAAACACATTAAAGACAACTAATAAGCATTATTGTACGAGTTTCGACATAAACTAAATCGGAATACCTCGATTTATGTTTTTAGAAAAGTCGAAAAATTAAAATTTTGAGCCCGAAACGAGGAAACCACAACAATAGAAGGCTTGGGTTGGATGCGGGAAGTACAATCTTATCTTTTTGTGTGACGGGTGGGGTCCACTCGGATTTTTTTTGGACAAAAAGAGGGGGGGGGGGACCGCTGTCTCGTTTTTAAAAATGGGAGGGGGGGGGGGGGGCGTTTTCTGTTTCTGTCGTGGGGAAGAAGATGGTCTCTTTATTTAGTAGGTATAGCGCGGTATAATATCGCGCTATATATAACGCGGTATTATATTGCGCTATATATAACCCGGTATAATACCACGTTATATATAGAAAAATAATTTTTTTTAGGCAGTAGAAACATATTTTAAATCCAAAAAATTAGCATTTAGGTTTCGGGCCGTACGGATTATCGACAATTGAAAAAGGAGGTGATGATGTTTACGATAGGTGCTCATTTTTTTGGTTGGAATAAACGATATGGAATTCAAAATTAATAACATGGTTATAGAAGAAAACATTCCTTTTTTTTCTTTAATGGAAATCATTTCCAAGAAAATTATATTAAGTAGCCAAACACCAAAATCTTTTGAAAATCATTTTTCTAAGAAATCTGTCGGACCACAACATAGAAATAATGGGAAAGTTAACTACGTTAGCTTGCGTTTCGGAACAATAAGAAATGACATAAAAAGGTTTTTGTTTTTTCAATTAATGTTTTCTTATTCATGTGGGGGTGCGGCCAAGGAAATAATGCAATACCAAGGCGACACTTGAGAGCAGCGATAGCAATACAACGTAGTGGAGTCTCCCCCTAATATCACATAATGAGAAGCTCATTGCTTATATTCAGCCGTCAGACGGGAGAAATGTCGGAGTAAGTCTTTGTATACAAACTGTTTGTATTGAAACCTGATTCTTGAGACATAAATTAAAGCATGCCTCGTGAAATGAAATATTATTAGAGGTTTCTTTAGCCCAGCAGAGTCGTTTGCGGGACAGTTGAAGGTTGGGCATTTAGTATAGGTAGCTGGGGATTCCATGCTTGTCATAACCAAAGTCGTCACCGTAGTTGAAATGGAGCTTAGAGCTAATTCTTTGCAGAAAGAAACGAAAAATCAAGGAGAAATCTACTCAAAATGCCCATTTGGGAGAAACTAATTACCCGCTTCAAACTTTTTACATAATATAACTATGCGGTCAAAAATATTTATCCGTACTTTCCCTTGACATTCCCTTTTTCCCATTAATTACTCTTTGTCTTTTTGTGCTTTCTCTTTCCTGTTTTTTTCTTTCTATTTATCCTAACTTTTCCTTGACTTTCCCTTTCTTCCGGTGATTACTTTATGTCTTTTTAGGTTTTTCCTCTCCTGTTTATTCCTACATAGCACGTTATTCATCTCTTTCAGCATATGTGCTTTTGTTTGAACTTTGAAGGCTTCAGGAGCATCTTTGTACTCTTTTTCATGCATTCATAGATCAAGATCCCCTGATCCAAAATATCTCGTTAATGAACTCCATGGATAAGTTAACTCTTCAACCACATATAGAGGCGGATCCAGGATTTAAATTTAATGGGTTCAACTTTTAATTTTAACATTGAACTCGTTATACTGTTAAACTTATGGGTTCAAATCTAGTACTTGTTGAGATTTTATTAGGTTCTTACATATAAATTCATACACTGTATCGGAAGTTATAAATTCAATCGAACTCGTATCGAAAAGGCTACATCCACCCTTGACCACATACTGCGATTAACTAACTCTGAAGATTATTATTACTATGACTTACTATATGATACACAATCTAATGACAAAGAAAAAATAAAATAAAATAAGATTCTTTTAATTAATAAAAGAGCTAACAAAACGATATATTGTAATAATATGCAATATTTCAGTTGAAACTTGAATAAAAACACATTTACCTAACAGTATACCGCCACGGTATCAAAATATACTGTAAGAGCATACAGTTATACTGCAACAGTATACTGTAATAGTATACATATATACCGGAACGATATACTATAATAATCTATAATTTCAACATAAATTTAAATAAAAACACAATTAGCCATCAGTATACTGTTACTATATCACAATATACTGTAAGAGTATACTATAATATATAGAGTATATAGTTATATTGCAACAATATACTATAATAGTATACATATCTACCGAAACATTATATGGGTAGGGTTGCGTAATTATTTTGTATGGGTAAAATCAGGGTAATTATTTTGATTTCTATGGGTAACCCTGTATATATCCCAAAATCAAGAACCTTAAGATCTTTTAGGTACGTAGATCAGTGTATATGGCACAAGCTTCTCCGCAAGTACCATCTCTGGTGGTGAAGTTGCAAAACAACTCAATTTTGTGATATGTTAATTACATCCACAACTCGGTTTCTCGGTATTATCAAAGCAGAGCTCGCGACACAGCCATTTAACATAATCATCATGGAATAATACTCCAACACAAACACCATTGCTTCAACAAGAATTGCTTCCACTTTATGGACTTAAATTTTCAACAAGGCAGTCACATTATTTTCACTAGAGGTACAGTTTGATCAACTTCCACTTTACATAACACCCGTATGCAATTTTACATAACACCCCTATGCAGTTCAACTCATCTCATAAGAAATGGATTCACATATTAAAGACTTTTACAGATGGAATTCGTCGGCATATAGTTATAGTAAGTTCTCTGATACTAAGAAATTCTAGTGATTTGAGGTACCAGTTGATGGATCAAAGGTAAAGCCTGCCGACACCCGTCTTCAATACTGGTGTACTTGTGTATGCTCGACTTTCCTCTGGAAAAGAAGTGACCCTAACAAAACAGCAATGCCTGTTATCGCGATTGTAAACAGAAGCCGCTTTTTGGAGAACTCTTGTGGCTGCCTTCTTGGAGGACCACGATCTCTTTCAGCAGTGTGCGTGTTCCTTAAGAGAAACCAAAGAGCAAAGAAATGACAAATAAATATCAGAACTTGACATGCAACAGAAAAGTTATTGTGTTCAAGATCTGATTGCAATTTATGGATTTGAGACAAAATGATGGAAATTCATTCCAACAAATGAATTGCCAACAGGTTGCACTATAGAGCTAATATGAAACAGACAACATGCTCAGGCATAGGAACTTTTGAGTCTATGAATTTTCATTCTAATGATGGTAAAATCATACCTCTTCACCTACTGTTTTAGAACTTTCTGCATAGATCATTGCATGATGCCAAAACTGCTTGTTATCTTATTCACTATTTTTACACTAAACATCAGGTTTCTTATTTAATACACTACTAAGACTTGTGACAAAGGATCTGAAGCCCCTACATCTCAAACTTGGATGCCGAAAACATTGTCAAACTTGAGGGTTGAGTCTAAACATGTGAGCATCTTCTATATATAATTTGCAGGTGTGCTGGCCAAATTACGTTTTAATTCAATGCCATGACACATACTATCAGAGTTCAGAAAGTTATTTAAGAGTTGAAATACGGCAATGGGTGATGCCATGATAATATATTGGAAAGAGAATTGCTAATTTAACATTTGGTAGCTGAAGAAAAAACAGACTTTTTAAATGAATATAGAGCAGAGATGAATAACTGATACCACAGAAAAAGATGTTTTTCTTAATCGGAATAAAGAAAAGAAGAAAAAGAAGTTCAAGTGCAAACTTTGGATACTTTGGAGTCTCAGTCTTTAAGTGGATGGTTGAGATGAGAACTAAAGAATAGAAAAACATCTTTAAGGTCTTGTTCTGTCCATCCTAGATTTTACCAGAAAATCGCATTTGCATGCTTGTGTCCGTGGAGGACAAATAATGATTTCCATTTAAATTTTGCATAGTTTAATAGCAACTTATCCAAATATCCCTCTCATTAATCATGCATGTACTGTGGTTAATAGGGGATTCGACCAAAAAGGATTACATGGTGGTGTGCCTTGTGAAATTACTTCCTGGAAAACTTAACATGTATATGTAATGAAGTCATGTCAAAATTTCCCCGATTCATTTCTAGCTATAATAATGATAGGCCACTAAGTCGTGACCACACATCATGATGCATTTATAGGGATGTTGTTTCCTCATAATCTGCTTTACTTATTCTATTTCTTTTCGCTTGCAGGGAGTTAAGTCCCCGTGAAAAGATCGACAAACTGGTTGTTTACCAATAGCGTGGAATTAAAGCCAAGAGTGATAGAAGATGCATATTTAGACAAATCATAACAGACAATAAGAGTGTGAGGGAGCAATATGTTTCCAATTGGAGTGAATTCAATTTAAAGAATAATACTAACAGCTGGATCTCAGATCTCACATATCCATATTATAAAAGACCTCGATGAGAGAACATTTGCGAAAAGCCAATTAAATAAATACTTTGTCCTTAATACCTGGAAGATTCTCCAACATTACTTATAATCCCATTGCATCTACTCTCATGACTATTTATTTCTCGGAGTCTAATATATCTGCTACAAAGATGACATAATTCTGTTCGGTTCCCACATACTTCCTGATCAAGACAGTGTAAATATCACACCAAAGAGTAAGATGATAAAATCCGATCACTCCAGAACATAGAAAACACAAAAAGATGTCAGATGATAATTCTCATTACCTGATGCTCGAATAAATCAATCGCAGGCAAAGGAAACTCGCAATACTCGCATGTCACAATTCTCTTTGGGCAATTTTCACCTTTATGAACAGCTAGAATCTCACGTTCCATTGTCTCACTACACAAAGAACAGGCAACCTAAAAATAAACAAGCACATTAATCACATCAAATAGGTATAGTTTGGCCTATTGAGTTAACCAAACCAGAAAGAAGAGGGAACAGAATATTATCCCTTGTCCCACGGCAGCCCCGCTCTCTCAATTAAAAATGAATGGAGAAAAGGTGAGAAAACGAGTAATCAATATCTTCTACATAGATCCTTGAGAAGAAAGAAAAGCAATAACCTAAATCCAGCACTCTTGAAGATGGTTCTCCTCTTCAATATCCATATTACCTATCCAGTGGTAATTCCTGAAAAGCAAAGGCACAAGCCAAAACATTTTTGGTTCTCTAAAGCATTACTACCTCTGGTTTGCACCATAGAAGCTAGCAGTCTGTTGACAGAGCAAATTTTTGAGCGACATATTAAGCTAAAGTTAAAACTAACATCAGTTGTTGTAAGCAAGAAGACAACAAAATAATACTTGCTCAGTTGCTCTGTAGGCCTTACTACCTCTGGTTTGTGTGATAGATCATAGCAGTCTGTTCTTAGAGGAAGTTTCTATAAGATATATTCAGCTAGTTAAAACTTAATGTCACTTGTTGTAGACAAGACAACAAAAAGAGTACTTGTAATGCAGGCTTAGCATTGTAGACTCAGTAAGTTTGATATAAAATGGATTTTTAACTAATATACTTGTCAAACTATAATGCCCACGATGAGGAATCATCTTGGTTTTGGTAAACGGAAGAGCATTCCATAGCTTGAGATTTTGCTGGGGCTAGGTGTTGCTCAAGTGCTCAACCATAAATACAGTTTACCTTATATCTATTCATCTTATTTATCACTGATCAAAACCTCCTAAATTGTTTATAAAAAGTTCTACAATGGATCACATGCAGCACACTGTCACATCCATGTTCTATGCAAAGAATTCAGTTGCAAAGCCTATTTACCATAGCTTATATTTAGAAGCCCAATATACAGTAAACAAATGGTGTATGAAAAGGCCCAACGAAACCTATCTACTCACTACTCAGTTGGTAATAGAAACAGCAATTGAACATCAGGCAAATGCACATAGATGACTTTGAAAAGCTATAATTCATTAGAACAACACTAATTGAGCAGCAGAAAATCCCACTCATCAAGCTTGTTTTTCCAGTCAGTTTCAGTGAAGAATTCTGAAGACCCTCTTATGCCATTCCAACCAGAAGTTCAACTATGTGGGGACATGTGAGGTATGAAAGCTACTGAGTTCTTAGATCACATCACCTAAAGAGCAAATCCTTTCAAATTCCTGATATATTGTCTTTTTCATCTCCCTTGAGTCGAGGGTCTATCGGAAACGGCCTCTCTATCCCTTGGGGTAGGGTAAGGTCTGCGTACACTCTACCCTACCCAGACCCCACTTGTGAGATTTTACTGGGTTGTTGTTGCTGTTGTTGTTGAAAGTACACCATGAAGTAGATACTTCTTGTTTTTCCAACTTACACGATTATACAACTACTGGTGCCAAAGGGAACGACACGGTGAAATCTGTGAGCTAACCCAATCTATTCAAGTTTATAAACACACATTTCCAGTAATTGCAACTAAAAAAAACATGACAGGGTAAAACCCTTACTCCATAACCATTCATTTTTATGGATATAAATCCCACAACAATAATTGATGCAGGGTTATAATTCGTGTCGTGTGCTTAACCTACACATTATGTGGTGCACTCTCACCACTGAACCAAAGCCCTAGGGGGCAAACAATTGAAACATAAATAGAAAAAGAGAAAATACATGAATGCATGCTTACAAACATATAAAGATAGATCAAATGATGTACAAATGCATTCATGTAAATAGTATATACATAATGGCCACTCCTTGCACCTAAAATTTGAGAATAAGCAAGATAACAAGAGAAGTATCTTTTTCCTATATTAGGATACAACCCCTCCCATCACTCACAAAGAATGAAAGAGGTAAAACAAGTAAGCTCACTTACCGGAGCATGAGTGCACAAGAAATGTTCCTCTGCAAACTTTTTAGGAACCATATCCCCACAGGTTTTACATTTTTCAAGATTCCTGGAGCAGTGAGCAAAATGCAAATCGAGGTTGGTGGAAGGAATTGCTCGGTCACTGTAAATATCACCGTTCAATTAGCAAGTGATGAATGCCTCAAATTCAGAAGTAAACAGAAGGATCAAAGTCAATACAACCGAAACATAAAACAAGCATGATGGTAGTAGCCATGCATAAATGGCAACATTGCAAGAAAACTACAACAACAACATAACCAGTGTGATCCCACAGTGGGGTCTAGGGAGTGTGGAGTGTACGCGGACCAGAAAACCACACGTATCAAATTCATATATTCTATGTAGCTTCCCATCACACAGGGGATAAGATTCTTCTTCGTCGCAGAATCAAATTGAAAAAACAAAATTGCGCTAATAAAAATTCACATTTATGAATCCACTAAGCTGACAGAAAAGATCAAACAGATGCTAATTCTTCCATATTAGACCATATGGACAGTTAATAGAAAAAGCAACTTTCAAGTGATATGATTTTTCATCAGTTAAGCTAACAATCATAATAGTTAATACACCTTCTCTCTTCCTAGCAGAAGAATGGCATTAAATTGTACCCACAAATAAACATGGTTTGTATTTAACTTCATATTATCTTCATCAAACAAACAGAACAAAAACGAAAAAAAAAGTAAAAGGAAATTACCAGTGACTGCAGATGCTGGTGGCTTGATCAGAAGCTACAGCCATTACTCTGCTCCAATAAGATCCACGAAAACCTCACCCTTTGGATTAAAATCTATGATAACAAAAAAAAGAGCAAAATTGAATAATCAATAAGATACTTAAACAAAGAAAACGAGTTAGGTAAGCTAATTGGGAATCCAAATTAGGTAAACCAATAATTCCAATTAAAATTTGTGGAGAATTAAGATAGAATAATTGAGGATTTTATGCTTGGAGTAGGAAAAACAACCTAAGATGCTGAGAATTGGAGCTTTCGATAAGATCGATAGAATGATCAAAGGATTGTTCTGTGTATGTCCCTTTTTTGGATTTTTTTTTCAGAAAGAAAGACTTTTGGTCTCCCTTTAGCTAAGAAACCGGAGAGAGTCCACTTTGACGACGATTATCGTTTCCTTTTACTTACCAGGTTTGGAGTCCTATGATTCAGAAACTTTAGTCGGTTTTCTCACGCTCCTTTGCTGGCGCGTGTAGGCAGTAAGCTATGGCCTTGATTGGGCTCATGGGTTCGTTTGGGCTGATACGTCTTTGAGTCAATCCAAATATGATATGGGCTTCCAACTTGAGGGTAGTGGGCTGTTGTTCTTAAATTGAAGAATTAACTTAAGAGAAATTTTCAAAAAGTGATTATTAGCTTGCTATAGCTATTATTTACCAAATTACTTTCTATAGCTATGTTTTCAGTTGTTATAGACTATATTCGATATATTTTTGCTACTGTATTTATGAATACAGTAGCAAAACTCGGCGGAAAACAGGGGAGTCCAGCTAAGCAGAGAATGTATTTGACTGTATTCGTGAATACAGTAACGGAATTTGCGAAAAAAAAGTCTTCAACTGTTTAAAAATGGTAAGTGAATCAATTAACGCGATAGACTCCTAATATAACTCAACAAGCTCAATTATAACACAGAACTTGTATTTTCAGTTATAGAAAAGATTCTCAACCGAAAAATACCCCAAAAACAGAACAATCTTTAAAGATTCAATCCATCCTTTCTTTTTAGTGGTATCTTTACTAAAATATTTTTAGTGGTATCTTTACAAATAGATTCATATTGAAATTGTATAATTACATTGAATACATTTAAATACATAAAAATATATTGAATACATGAAGTATAGCAGGTCATCTATAGTGCAAAAACATATGAATGCATACTGCAGATACATATATACATCTGAATACATAAAATAATAGTAATTAAAAAACATATGAATACATTCATGGAATACAGCGAGACAATGCATACAATGAAATACATGGAATACAGCGAGACATTGAAATACAATAAAAAAAAAGTAACAGACTGTTCAAGTTTCTCAGCCCCAAACTCCTTCCCCAATACACCGATATCCAGGCCGCTGCCATGTGGGGCGTTGCCGCCGATTAAATGAAGACAGTTGTTGAAGAAACACCAATTTAAAGGATCAAACGAAAACTAGAGACAGAACTTCTTAAGATCTCACAAGGCAAACATGAACAATCAATACAAAATCTAAGAAAAATTTAGAATGTGTAACATAACTGTGTGAAAGAAATCGCTAGCCGGAGGAGGGGGTTAGGGGTGACACAACAAGAAAATGGGGAAGTGGTCGCCGACCGGATCTGTCGTTGGCGGAACACAGCCCCTGCTAGGGTTCTAAAAGCAGGGGAGGAAAAAATCGGGGAAAAAAAAAAAGAGGAAAGAGAAAGGAGGAGAGAGGGAAGAGGGAGGGAGAGAGAAAAATAATACACAGCGTATTTAATGTCTTAAAGGTAGGAAGTGACCATAAATAGATATTTTGCTATAAAAATTAAAAGGTAGATATATGAGATATTTTTTTAAAAGGGTATCTAGTTATAATAAATAAGGTATTAACATTTGCTATAGGAGGTAAAATTTCCTTAACTTAAATAGCTGCCTACCCAAGTGCTTAGGAAATTTTACCTCCTATAGCAAAGGTATATACCTATAAATCAAAATTATTTTAAAATATTATTTTCTATAGCTACAATAAGGTATTAATATTTGCTATAGGAGGTACAATTTCCTTAACTTAAATAGCTGCCTACCCAAGTGCTTAGGAAATTTTACCTCCTATAGCAAAGGTATATACCTATAAATCAAAATTATTTTAAAATATTATTTTCTATAGCTACCTTTTATATTTTATATATATTTATGGTATATACTACCATTGAGGCATGAAATAAGGCATGAAATACGCTATTTATGTTTTTCCTCTCTCTTAGACAACTGACATACCTATTTTTAAGGTAATTGTCGTTACTGTATTCATGAATAAATGGCGTGAATACATGTGAATACATGCGCGTACAGCTGGACTGCCCTTATTTTAGGCGCTTTTTACTATTGTATTCATGTATACAGCACCGCGAATACATGTGAATACATGCGCGTACAGTTGGACTGCCTTGATTTTATGCGCTTTTTGTGTTGTATTCATGAATCATGGCAAGTAATACATGTGAATCATGCACGTCAACTGGACTGCTTGATTTTTTAGGCGTTTTTTGTGTTGTATTCATGAATACATTGCGCGAATACATGCACGTACAACTGGAATACCCTGATTTTTAGGCGCTTTTTTCTGCTGTATTCAACAGCAGCGCGAATACAGCGAATATACTACCGTAACAACTGAATAGTAGCTACAGGAAGTAATTATGTATATGGTAGCTATAGTAAGTTAATAGCCACTAAACAATAGTGGTTTCTGAAAATTCCTCAACTTAAAATAGGTGGCAGATGTATAATGTGAATGCATGTGCGTACAACTGGATTGCCCTTATTTTAGGCGCTTTTTACTATTGTATTCATGAATACAGCAGCGCGAATACATATGAATACATGCGCGTATAGCTGGACAGCCCTGATTTTATGCGCTTTTTGTTGTTGTATTCATGAATACATGGCAGGAATACATGCGCATACAGCTGGACTGCAGGATTTTAGGCGTTTTTTGTTGTTGTATTCATGAATATATTGGGCGAATACATGCGCGTACAGCTGGAATACCCCTATTTTTAGGTGCTTTTTGCTGCTGTATTCATGAATACAGCAGCGCGAATACAACGAATACACTACCGTAACAACTGAATAGTAGCTATAGGAAGTAATTATGGTAGCTATTGTAAGTTAATAGCCACTAAACAATAGTGGTTTCTGAAAATTTCTCAACTTAAAATAAGTGGCAGATGTATAATATGTTTACAATCCATGTATAATATGTATCTAATCGTGTATGATAATTGTATAATCTATGTATACTGATTAAAAAATACGTGAATTCGATCGGTTATTTGTGTAAAGATCCCATCTAAATTTTGCATGCCGGAGGGGCTTCTAAATGCGTAAAAATTAGAGCAAAATACAAAACTAAATTAGCTAGAGATAGAAGCTGCAAACTAGCGAATTTGGAGCGCCCTTCTCTCAAATTCTTGATATTACTAGCCATCTGGGCTAATTTTAAAGAAATGTATATATATATATATATATATATATATATATATATGGGATCTTTACACAAATAACCGATCGAATTCACGTATTTTTTAATGTGTATACATAGATTATACAATTATCATACACGATTAGATACATATTATACATGGATTGTAAACATATTATACATCTGCCACCTATTTTAAGTTGAGAAATTTTCAGAAACCACTATTGTTTAGTGGCTATTAACTTACAATAGCTACCATATACATAATTACTTCCTATAGCTATTATTCAATTGTTACGGTAGTGTATTCGAGCTGCTGTATTCATGAATACAGCAGCAAAAAGCGCCTAAAAATTAGGGTATTCCAGCTGTACGCGCATATATTCGTGCAATGTATTCATGAATACAACAGCAAAAAACGCCTAAACTCATGCAGTCCAGCTGTATGCGCATGTATTCACATGTATTCCTGCCATGTATTCATGAATACAACAACAAAAAGCGCATAAAATCAGGGCAGTCCAACTGTACGCGCATGTATTCACATGTATTCGCGGTGTTGTATACATGAATACAATAGTAAAAAGCGCCTAAAATAAGGGCAGTCCAGCTGTACGCGCATGTATTCACATGTATTCACGTCATTTATTCATGAATACAGTAACGACAATTACCTTAAAAATAGGTATGTCAGCTTTCTAAGAGAGAGGAAAAACATAAATAGCGTATTCATGCCTTATTTCATGCCTCAATGGTAGTATATACCATAAATACTTATTTTGCTATAAAATATAAAAGGTAGCTATAGAAAATAATATTTTAGAATGATTTTGATTTATATGTATATACCTTTGCTATAGGAGGTAAAATTTCCTAAGCACTTGGGTAGGCAGCTATTTAAGTTAAGGAAATTTTACCTCCTATAGCAAATATTAATACCTTATTTATTATAAGTAGATACCCTTTTAAAAAAAATATCTCTTATAGCTATCTTTTAATTTTTATAGCAAAATATCTATTTATGGTCACTTCCTACCTTTAAGCCATTAAATACGCTGTGTATTATTTTTCTCTCTCCCTCTCTCTTCCCTCTCTCCTCCTTTCTCTTTCCTCTTTCTCTTTCTCTTTCCTCTTTATTCTCTTTTTTCCCCGATTTTTTCCTCCCCTGCTTTTAGAAACACTAGCAGGGGCTGTGTTCTTCACTTCGGCGTGCAGCCCGATCCCATAAATATAATTAATATATTGCTGCAGTGTGCAGCCCGTTCACATAAAATATAATATAATATGATGCGGCGTGCAACCCGATCCCAAAATATCACTTTCGCTCAGGCCCTCGGCATATGATGTATCAATAACAACAACTGAGACTGAGATATGATATGCATGCATGAATATGTCTGAGTACGAAATATCAATGAAATTAGTGAGATGACAGCAAGAAACGACCACTATGGGTCCCAACAACATCAGCATGAAGCCTAAACATGATATTTAGCATGATTGACAGCTCAACTACTTTATCGCATGGTGAAAACACACATATCAACAAACTAGGGCCATTATACAATGCCATGGAAGCAACATAGTCCTAACTCACATGGTGCGCGCCCACACGCCCTTCACCTATCATGTGTGTCACCTCAATACCAATCACATAACACGTATTACGGGGTTTCATACCCTCAGCACTAAGTTTAGAAGAGTTACTTACCTCGAACAAGCCAAATCCAATACCAGCAAGCCAAACAATGCTCCAAAAAGGCAAACCCGCGCGTAACGACCATCCAAACGGCTAAAAACTCGTCAAAAGCAACTCAAATACATCAAATAATGCCAAAGGAAACAATTATAAAGGTCGAATTTTTAATCAAAATCCCAAAATCGACCAAAAAGTCAAACCTGGGTCGCGCCTCGGTAGGCGACAATACTCACAAAATTCGATAACCCA